TGGGTGTGGTACAAACTATGACAGGTTTGAAGGGTACAAGAAGGCCCACTGATTGAAGGACCACAAGGGAATGAACACAAACAGTACAGCCACAGATTAAATTCAGGTTGTCCTTGATTACAGGCTCAAGACCAATTGAGAGGGACCCTGCAGCAACGGATGTATAATGACATCATTTACAAAGCTGCAAAGCATTCAAAACTTGGGGGCCACAGTAGGGTTGCTATAATGGGTTAAGCAAAATGTAAATGTTTGCTCACTTCAAGATGGACTTCAAAAAGGGAAGCATTTAACTTGATCAAGGCATTGACAAGGCTGTGTCTGGCTATTCAAATGTACAGGTCAGAATTTTGACAAGGGAGGGTAGGTGTAGAGACTGCAAAGCAAGAGAATACAGAAGTGGCCATCTGACTGGATAGAGTTAGCCAAGGGCTGTGGTTCCGGGGGGGAAAAATCAGTTACAAAAAAGGCCAAAAAACGTTTGGATTTGATACTTTATATTTCAAAAGGTCTCAGCTGAGGTGCATCCAGGCTTGGTGTTCCTGTGCTGCTTGAGTCAGGTTTTCACTCTCGTTATGAGAGAGCACAATTTGAAGGGTCTGCAGTCTTTGCAGCATAAAGGAGAAACCATTTGGCACAACACCATGCAAGATTGCAAAGTCAGGCATTGTGAACGCAGGACTGTATCCATGAAATGATCTCTTGGAAGGTCATGACAGCTGTAATTCTACGTTGCCAGCCAAGAATGGGACTCTTAAAATCCCAGAGTCTCTGACATGAAGCTCAGACAATTGGCTTCAGACATCACTGACTGCAGTAGTTGGACTGCACAGCCTCTATATATTTGAAAATGAAAGCAGCTTTTACGAGCCACTTTGGAAAATATCATGTGGACTGGATACTGCAACTGACTTGTCAGTTTTACTTGTGACCAAACAAATTTAATGCAGTCATGCATGAAACAGCCACACTTAAGCTGACAGTCGAAAAATGTCAAAATGGAACAAAAAAACTGTCTACATCAGGCCACCGAAGCTATTACTCGCCTCCTTTTTAGCATCAATTTTCGTGCCTTG